ACTTCATTCATATATGATCGAGAGGTGGAAGTCAATGGAGGGTCAAATACTGACTGGACGCTGGTTCCGGTTTGACCGGACGCTGACGCAGAGTCCGGTCAGTTCATTTGACCAAGGTGATTGCGTCTGGCGTGACCGGACGCTGAGAGCCAGCGTCCAGTCGACTCCTGTAAGGTTGCAGAGAGGGAAAATTATGACCGGACGCGTCCGGTCAGTGCTGATCGACGACGCCAGCGTCCGGTCACACTGTAAACACTAGAGTTCGGGGTGTACTGACCGGAGCGTTCAGTCAACATAACCGGAGCGTCCGGTCACCCCGCAAAGGCACATAACGGTTTGTTTTTTAGCCGGTGTTATAAATACAACCTCCACTCGTGTGTGGGGGTACATTTGCTCATTTCAACAGCTGAGAAACACCTTAGAGAGTGCCAAGAAGAGCAAGGTCCTAGTGAGGTGATTGAGATTTGAGAATCCCAAAGAGAGCCCTCATTAGCAAGATTAAGAGTAGCAAAATATGCATCCATCCTTCTCTTTAGGCTTGTCGTGGTCAAGTGAGAGTTCGTGGCTTGTTACTCTTGTTGATCGCCATCACCTAGACGGCTTGGTGGTGATTGGGAGCTTGGTGATCATCCGAGAGAGCTTGTGGATGACCCAACTCAAGTTGTGAGCGGTTGTGTGTGATTCACCGCGACGGAGTGTCGAAGAATCAACCCGTAGAGAGCACTTGATCCTTGCGCGGATTAAGGGGGAGCTACACCCTTGCGCGGGTGCTCCAACGAGGACTAGTGGGGAGTGGTGACTCTCCGATACCTCGGCAAAACATCGCCGCGTTTTCTTTCCTCTCTTTACTTTGAGCATTTACTTTGGACAATTCAATTCTTGTCATTTACATTCCTAGAATTACAATGCTAGAGTAGAATTGGAACATAGGTTACAAGTCTTTTGTGCGGTAGAATAATTAGAAACACTTTTTAGGCGTAAGGGGTTAATTGGGCTAACCGTAGGATTTAATTATTGCAAAGAAATTTAGAATTAGCTCAATTCACCTCCCCCTCTTCGGCATCTTGATCCTTTCACCGCATACAGCACCACCAGTAAGATGATTGACAGCAGGACGAGATCGGCATGTCTCAACTAGGTGGTGCCCTACTTGGTACCCAAGGAGCCTAATAGGTAGTAATAAATGTAGTTTCTTTAAATACGAAGGCTTCATGAACAAACGTTCATAAATATTACAAGTAATCGTGCATATCATATACTTGCACGGTACGAGCCGTACACACCGGCAACGTTACCACACCGACGTTGGCTACACTCCCAATGTGTTGCCTACAAATCCGAAGAGACAGATGCGTCCGAGGGATCTTTACACTCCTAGGATTTAGTTGATTATGTCGAACTTATGTTGAATGAATATTGTCGTCCGAAACTTGCAGACTCATGCACCAATGAAAATGTTATGTGGCAACTTGTCAACTTGCGCACGGACTCTATTTATTTGCTTCATATTCGTTTCAATACGTCGCGGCAGCACTACCGGCGAGATTAACTAGCAACTAGTTCGGGAACCGACAGTCCCGGCGTATCTCGCCGCCAGTGGCCGACGTCTTGACCCAGATCCGCTCGAGCTTGGTCATCGTCGCCACGAAATCGTCGAAGAAGACACCCTGGTTGGACGCGTAGTGGTCGACCGTGCTGCGCGACCTCATGTCGGAGTAGAGCACTTGGTCGAAGCCCAGGAGGCCTTTGCCGACCCGTAGGTTTCGGTAGAAGACGTTGTCGAAGCCCACCGGAGAGGGGTCGAGGAAGGCGAAGGAGTTGGGTTCGGAGTTGCAGGTGCCGTTCAGCTGCGACGCAAAGCAAATGTTAGTTTTGGGAAAAATATAACAGTGTTAGATTTAAAAATAGTTTAAAAAAGTGTTAAAAATAAATTAAAAAAATCTAGAGAGAGAGAGGGGCCGCACGCGAGGTACTTCATGGGGTGTGTCCGTGCGCGCGGGGGAGCAGCGCCAGGCACGGGCGCGGGAACGGGTTGCGTCTTGCGTGGCGTGTGGTGCGGGGTGGGGTTGGTGCGCGAGGCCGTGTGTGGTCCGGGAGGCCGGGAGGAGAGGGACGTGTCCGTGGCGCTGTCGGGCTATCTCGCGTGTCGGCGGTTCCGTCCCTGCGCCCCAACCCCACGACCGTGTGTACGCCTTAATTTTCCTTGCCCATGCTTGGAGCACCGGAGTGTCGATTTTCCTCGTGAAAAACGACGGAGACGCACCACACCAAATTCCAAACACACCAACAACCTGCACCAACTCTTTTCTTCATCACCACCTAATCGCGACTCCTGCTGCTACCAGTAGGGTACAGTAGTTGTTGTACTTGTACCCGGAAACGTCGTGCACATGACTTGCATAGTTGCATGTTTCAGTCTCAAAGATCAATGTTACCATGGACATGCGCCAGAACTGCAGAACCGAAGAGTACAACTTGGAGTGGGAAAAACAGTGACTGGCATTTGGGCTGCCGCGTTATTAGACTATCTCCAACAACACAACCCAAATCAGAGACCCATTCTGCAGTTTGGGTCATGCACATTAAAAAGGCCGGAGCATCCAAATCTCACGTTCTCCAACAGCCATCCCAAAATCCCGTCCTCTCTCTCCTCAATCTCTCTCCCCCGCGCCGCTTCCACCTCCCCCAGCCCCACTTTCCCCGTTCCCTCTCCCTCTCCCTCTCCCTCTCCTCTCCGCTTGGAGGCCGCGGCAGCCGAGGTGGCCTTCTTCTTCCGCTGCTGCAGCTGATGCTCGTTGCCACCGCCGGCCTTGCTGCTGGAGTCCAGGCCCATCGCCTCCCGTCTCTTCTTCTTCCGGTCACGGTCCCAAGCCCAGAAGGGGGTTTTGGTGGTGTGGCACTTTCAGTGCGAGCCTTGGTCTCGCCGGAGGCCGGGCGAAGCGCTTCGTCTGATCCAGCGCCCGCTCCCTCGCTGCGGCGGAAGAAGAAACAAACAACACGATTTATTAACACCCGCACCCACCTTCCGAACACGATCGAGCCGGAGAGCGCGGATCGAGCTCACCTTCTCGACGGAGGAGTCCATCTCCGACAGACAGACCGACGGATCTACCACCGCGAACCACTCCCTCCTCCTCCGTCTCGGCCTCGCGGAATCCCCTCAAGCCCTCCGGCGCCGCCGCCGCCACTCCCCTGCGGGATCGGGAGGTCGGTCGATCCATGATGGAGGACACCCTACCGCACGGATCGGCGGCCGGGCGTCGCGGCGGCGGGAGCGACGAGTGTGGAGACGGACGCCATGGACGAAAGCGCGAGGCTTCGCCGCTCATACTTCTTTGTTGAATCGTGCTTTCGACGGCTCGACCCCGGATCCCGTTCCCCGACGGCGCGCCCGCTCCCCCCCTCGACGACGCGGTACTGCAGTCGCGCCTCGGCGGACCTTTGCCACAAGCGGCTCCTCGCAGCCGTCCGCTGGCAGCGCCCGCTCCTCTGGCCCCACCACTACGACGCCGCCAGAGATTTGCGTTCCTCTCTCTCGACGACGCACATTTGCAGCTCGGCAAGCCTCGTACCCAAAATGGGTGAGGTGATTGGGTCATCCGTTGGAGCGATGTTTTCGAAGACAAAACACTGTGGACGACCGATTTTACGTTTGGGTCACGGATTGCATGCACCGTTGGAGTCAGCTGCCTATTAATGCCAAACTCCCACGTCTACGTTACCCTGAGCCGTGTGCCGTGACGTCCTCAGCTCTGGTAGGAGTCGTCACAGACTGGCCCTTTTCCATTTACGTTCTCTTAGCTGTTTTCTCCAGCTATACCGTACGTATATTATACTACTCACACGCCTTTTTGTATTTTTTACGGAGGGAGTACTCGTATTTGGTGGTCAGTGGTCATGGACGCCATGCCAGCTTCTCGTGCAAGCTGGAAAAGGTAGTTAAATACGATGTGATTAGCTTGCGGACGGCCAATTTGTCCCGTGGATGTGATTGCTAATGCTTGCTCGGGTGCGGTGGTTTAACAGGATTGTTTGGACAAGACGTGCACTTGCCAAAACTAGCATAATCGCCGACCTGGCTATTGGCTAGCAGTAGCCGTGCCGATGGTCGGTCTGCAGGCTTTGAGGCAGAAGTTGTCGATGACCATGACAAGCAAGGCCATGTTTAGATTGTAAAAAATTTCAACCTGATAAATAGTAGCACTTTCGTCTTATTTGGTAAATATTATTCAATCGTGAACCAACTAAGCTCAAAAGATTTATCTCATGATTTCCAACTAAACTATGCAATTAGTTATTTTTTTTATCTACATTTAATGCTCCATATAAACGGCTAAAAATTGATGTGATAGAAAGAGAATGAAAAAACTTGAAATTTTGAGAGTATCTAAACAAGGCCCATGAGAAAATGGCCGATTAGCTGAGAGCTGACTCTGCGTCGTCCACCTGTGACCTGGAGAGGACGCCGCACAAGCCGACCCCACAGAGCAGACTCCCACCCACACGTCGAGACCACAGACCAGCGGCAGCAGCGACCCAGGCCTTGTCGAGATACCCTCAAAATTCAAGTTTTTTCTCTCTCTATCACATTAATTTTTAGCTATTTATATAGAGTATTAAATGTAAGTAAAAAAAATAATTAATTGTACAGTTTAGTTAGAAATCATGAGATGAATCTTTTGAGCTTAGTTGGTGTACGATTAGACAATATTTATTAGGGTTGAAATTTTTTTCAATAGCACAAAACACCGCGCGACAAGACGACAAGTGGACAAGGCCCCCCGGGGGAAAAGAAAAAAAAAGGCGAGAGAAATTCGTTAAAAATCCTCCCGGCCGGCCACTTTTATTACCACCTCCACCAGCACTCCCGCAGCAAGCCGTCGTCGCTCCCCCTGAACACCTCCACTCCAAACCCACCCCCACCTCGCCCCTCCTCTCTCTCTGGTCTCTACCCCCCAGGCCCCAGCTCCCCCTGTCTCTTCTCTTCCCCACCCGCCCCAATGTCGCCGCCCCTCGAGCCCCACGACTACATCGGCCTCTCCGCCGCCGCGCCGCCGACGCCGACCTCTTCCTCCTCCTCCTCCCCCTCGCCGGCGCCCCGCCTCACCCTCCGCCTCGGCCTGCCGGGCTCTGAGTCCCCGGACCGCGACGGGGACTGCTGCGAGGACGTCGCCGCCGCGCTCTCCCTCGGCCCTCTGCCGGCTGCCCCCAAGGCAGCCGCCGCATCCGCTGTTGTCTCCGCCAAGCGCGCCTTCCCGGACCCCGCCCAGCGCTGCCCCGGCGCTGCCAAGGCTAGCGCCAACGACAAGCAGCAGGCTTCCCCCACCGCGCCGCCGGCCGCCAAGTAAGACCCCGCTTCGATTCGTCTTTGGCCCGGAGTTGGCCGCCGCTGGGCTGACAGATGCGGTGCTGTCTGTCGACCCGGTGCAGAGCGCAGGTGGTGGGATGGCCGCCCGTGCGGAACTACCGGAAGAACACCCTCGCCGCCAGCGCCTCCAAGAGCAAGGCGCCCGCGGAGGAGGCCGCGTCCGGAGGCGGCGGGCCCATGTACGTCAAGGTGAGCATGGATGGCGCGCCCTACCTCAGGAAGGTGGACATCAAGATGTACTCCAGCTACGAGGACCTCTCCATGGCGCTCGAGAAGATGTTCAGCTGCTTCATCACTGGTGAGTGGTGTTCGGTACTATATGCTTCCGTTTGACGCGTTCCCCTCCTGTAATTACACAGAGTACTGCGCCGTTCATTGCCATTTTGGGAAGCTTATTGATTGGATCCGTTGCTGTAAGTCCTTTGTGATGTACTAGATTTAGTACCCCAAAAGAGTAGGAGGAGCTTGAGTAATTATTGTCGAATAAAAATTGCTTTCTTGAAGCAAATATTCATAAGAATTGCATGAATATACATCCATACATCGATGTGTTCTGCATATATGATCCTAAACAAGCACCAAGCACAATACAAACATGCAGTCATTTTGTGCACAGGGAGAAATTTCTGCTTATCATGCCACGATCTAAGTGCCATCGGCCTTGGCTCAACTGCTCAATTTTCATCACAGTTCCATGTAGCTTTGCTAATGGACGAATAATTGGGACACACGCACAGTTTTCATGGCCTAACAAATAATGATTAATGTGTGAACAGAAACTAAATACCATACAAATCACTGAACAGTTTTTCTACATAGTATGCCTTCCTTTTTTTTCACAAGGATATTTACTTGGCCTGTGATTTTAAAGGTCAAAATGGTCTGCATAAATCATCGAGCAAAGATAGGCTGACTAATGGCTCAAAGGTGGATGCCCTCAAAGACAAGGAGTATGTCCTTACCTATGAGGATAAGGATGCAGACTGGATGCTTGTCGGTGATCTTCCCTGGGAGTAAGTACCTTACATTGTCATATATTTCTTTTAGTGGTACTAGCGTAGGCTATAGTTGGATCAAGTTTGGTTCATGTTTTGTTAATTTTATTTTATTGGCAATTATTAAGAACATATTATGACTATGAAAAGAAAATCATATGCATTTTTTATCCCCTTGTGAATGCATTACCTCATAGCATCAGTAGCTCACTGTCTCAGTAGTGTTGATTTTTCCTCAACCAGCTACGGTGACATGCAAATAACAGAAGGATGAAAAGAAATTGTAAAATGTACTTGTGTAGGTATTGAACACATTTGTTCTATAATTTTGTAAACTGATTACCCTGTATAAGTTTCATATCTGTACAAGTTACTACTCAAGATGCAAGTGCTGACCTTATTTGTTCCCTTGCAGTTATTTTACGTCTATCTGTCGGAAGCTCAAAATCATGAGGGGCTCTGATGCTGTTGGAATAGGTATGTACCATGTGTAACAATAGATCTAGAAATTCTGCATGTATTATGTGCATATGTTATAGCCTTGCAGGACGAATTTATTAATTCCCAAGCACTTATATTTGCAGTTAACTTATACTATGCAGTGGCTACATTTCTCATTGTTTGCATGAGGTAGTCTTGCCAGCCCTTTGAAAATAAGTTAGGCCAAAGTATTAAAGTATTAGCTGCAACTGTATCCTGGCCGCCAATGGATTGTAGCTTCTATGCATAGATCATTTCTCATGGCTGATAACAGAGCACAAACCTAAGGGAATAATAAGATGATTAAATATTGATTGGAAGAAACAGTTGCTGTTTTGGTGCCTGAATCTGAAACTTCAGTTTGGAAGGTGCCTTTTCCTATTGTCTGCAACTAAGACCACTGACTATCGCATTCGGTCCTTCATTCTGAACTTGGTGCATTGTTTCATTTAGCTACAATATTTCTTGTATGATTCTGAACTATGTCCATTTGCCTGCAGCTCCAAGAACCATAGAGCAGACAGGTCAGAACAAATAAGCTTGGTCTTTGTCTGCATCCACGGAAGACATCTGAGCTAGCTGGGAGACTGTGTGTATGTTGAAGGCTGAAATAGTTGCTGGGAATTATCAAAACTCGTCAAATGTTTAGTGTAGTTTTCACGTGTTCTTGAGACATGTGCATTTGTATGTCTGTGATGTTATCCGTCAGATCGTGCAATCGTAGGTTGCTGTTTCTTGTGCCCTTTAAAGGCCAAATCAGGGAGCTCTCTGCTTCCTCTGTGTGATTGCATTCCAGCATTCCCTGTTATTCTACTCTGAAATCATCCATCATGCCACAAGAACTGATGGTTCGTGATGTCAAGAAAGCTGTCCTAATTGTTCAATTGTAACCTCGTAATTGTGTTCTTTTACAGGAGAAATTGGTGCTGTGCACTCAACTTCCTACCACATTAACACTAGTACTAACAGCGCATTTTACTGAGAACAGGGGTATGCGTTTGGGGTTTGTCATGGCTCACCAGTCACCCTTTCTTTGGGTTCTTCGAATCTGAGAAGAAATTGTAGAACGTGGGGTCCCTGGAATCTCTGGGCTCCTGTTCTGCTTCCTCCGGAGCATCAAGAGGGGCACTGCTGTCACCGAAGAAATTGTAGAATTGGATGTCCCTGGGAAGTCCGGTCTCCTCCTGTTCTGCTTTCTCCGCAGCATCAAGCGGGTCCTTGCTGTCAGCGAAGATTTCCCCGGTCGTGGCCGCATCAGCGCTCTCGCCGTCGCCGTCGGCCTTCTTCTGGCGTCCAGGCGACGCCGCCACCGTCTCCGCACCAGAGTCCTTGTCGCCCGCCTTCCTCTTACGCCCAGGCCCCGCCGCCGTCTCCGCATGCACCAATCTCCTCGTCCGCCCCTCGCGTCCAGGCGTCACCACTGCAGACGCAGCGGGGCCCTCGCCGTCCGCTTCCGCCACCGCCATAGAACTCTCGTCGTCTACGTTGGCATTCGGGTTGCGGTACACCTTGCACAAGACAAGAAGGTTCGAGGAGCCCGCTTCTTGGCCGCCTTCATCGGAGTCGAGGCTGAGCTCCACCATGCGCCATGCCGAACGCACACGCTTGCCGTCCACTTTCTCCATGAAGGCGAAGGTCTGATGCTGTCTTATCCACTGCCGGCGGCCGCCGCGGTAGGAGAACACGGTGGTCTTGGGTCCGTTGTTGGCCCAGCTTCCCTCCCTCCCGGTGTCCACTTTGCGCTTCTTGTGCTTCTTGGAGGGGGCCCTGGGGCGCAGCGTCGTGAAGAAGTACCACGTCCTCTCCCCATCGTCCGCAGTCGCCGGCGAGTACTGGCTGGTGAGCAGGTCCGGGTCCGAAGCATACAGGTCCGCCTCGTGAATGAAGTCGCTCACCTTGGTGCCGGAGACGATCCGGTGGCGCAGGTAGGAGTCGATGAGCTCCTCGTAGGAGGGGTGGCCGGTGAAGGTCGCAGGCGGCGGCTTGGGCGAGGAGGAGCCGACGGCGAAGGTCGGAGGCGGTGGCTTGGGCGGGCTGCCAGCCATGGCGAAGATGGATGGTTTCGGCCTTTCGGGAACCGTTGTGAGTTGCGATCACGAGGAGGCGTGCTAGGCGCGGCGGCGGTTTATATAGCCAGCCGGACGGTCCACACGTTGGTCTGTGTAGTTCCAGTTCTTTGTAAAATAATTTCTCCTTCATTATTTATTATTAGGACAAGTTTGTAAAATAATTTCCAGTTCATGTATTTTTTCTATGAAATTGAATTGTTTCTGCGAAATTACTACATGATTCTTATGAAATTTCTGCGTTCAAAACAAGCCCTTAATAAGAACAAAGATATTTGTACTTTAGTTTCTGTTTGCGTTTAATTGAAATAAATTGGGGGGAAATAGATGGAGATTTGTGAACATTAATTTCTGCTGCATTTGTGAATTAACTAAGCCAAAGTATTTTTGAATGTTGGGTGCGTTTTATCGTCGTGCTGCATCTGTCTTTGGGCAGCAGGTACGGGCATCTGCCAGCAGCTAGAGTAGACAGGTACGTATAGGAAGTTAGGAACAAGAAAAGCTTTATGGTACATTGTTCTCACAAACAAAAAAAACTTTATGGTGCACTGTTCGCTTGCTCGTATCTAGTTTATAAGCCATGATTTATTAGCTAACGAATAGTATTTTTCTCTCACACCAAACCTACCAACAGTACTTTCAGACATGGTTTATAAGTCAAACCAGGCAAAAAAAAAAAAAAACAGGGCGCCATAACTCTCTAGTATCTACTGCTTATGCTACATTGATGCTTCAGGCGTTCCCTTCTCAAGAGTTGTGAAGAAAAATACTTCACAAATACAGTGTGGAACTGTTTTGAAGCAAGCATCTCAGAATTTCAGTTTTGTCAGTGTTCTACTATCTCCGCAATGGGAACGTTCAGGTCGTACAATCGTGGGTTCAATTCGCTCTGAAGTCTGAACATTTGGTGCACTATATTTAGTCTGCTGCGTCATTTTTGCGGTCAGGTAGCAGTATCACACTCTGCTTCCTGCATTCCCTTTCAAAGATGAAGAGAAAAACACTCCTAAACTAAACCATCATCCTACAATTACAAGTCGTAATGCCCTCACGAAACTACCCTAATTATTAAACCCATACCTCGTAACGCCTTCTTCCGACAAATACACCAGAAATGGGTTCTTTACTCTCCTATCAGATTACTCTCGACAGCACCCATCCATGGCTCTGTTTCCAGGATTTGTCGGGGGAGAGGAGCCCTGGATCTCACAGGAACTGATGGAACCGAACATTCTTCTGTGAAGAAGCACGCGTCTCGCCTCGCTGAGGAGCGCCGGACGCGCCGAGGGCCGACTCGTCCTTCGCGATCGCGGTCTCCGATTTGGACTCGGCCCTTTTCAGAGTGACCACCAGATGGGTGCCGCACTGAGGGCACTGCATTTCCGTCGCAGAAACTGGAGCGCGAGGGGAGCTGCTGCCGTCGGCCTTTTTCTTGCGCGCCGGCACAGCCGCGCCGGAGCTCTCGTCGTCCAAGGCCTTCCTCTTGCGCGGAGGGGCCGCCGCGGACGTCTCGACGGAGTCCTCGCCGATCTCCGCCTTCTCCTTGCGTCCGGGCGCCGCCGCGGCCCCGCCGGGGATCTCGTCGTTCGCCTTGCTATGGCGACTGGGCGCCGCAACCGTCGCTTCGCTGGATTCCACGTCGTCGGGTCTCCTCCTCTTGGGTCCAGATGCCGCCTCTAGCGACGCGTTGGAGCTGTCGTCGTCGTAGTAGTCGTCATCCAACGTTGCGTCGCTAGATTCGTCGTCGTCGGCCTCCGCCTTGTGCCCGGCCGACGCCGCCGCCGCCGTGGCCCCGCTGCCGCTCGGCTCTGGGTTGCGCGGGCTGCGGTACACCTTGCACAGGACGCGATTTCTGAGGGCGCCCTCCTCCTCCTCCTCCGCCTCCGCCTCCGGTTTCTGCCCAGCGCCGCCGTTCTTGAGGAGGCGGAGCTCTATCATGAGCCACCCCGTGCGGACCCGCACGCCGGTATCCTTCTTGACGAAGGAGAAGCTCTGGCGGTGCCCAATCTGGTGCTGCTTGCCGTTGGAGACCATGTACACGGGCTTCGATTTCGCCTCGTTGTGCCAGCACCCGCCGCCGGTGGCCACGGTGCGCGTCTTGCGCTTCCCGTGGACGCTCTTGTGGCGCAGCGGGGTGTAGAAGTACCACGCCCGCTCACCGTCGCCGGCCACCGCGGGCGCGAACTGCCGGGTGAGGTCGGCGGGGTCGGCGGCGTACACGTCGGCGTCGTGGATGAACGCGCCGGTCTTGACGCCGGTCTCGACCCAGGGACGGAGGTAGGAGTCGACGAGCTCCAGATCGCTGGGGTGGGATTGGAACGCCCGACACGGCGGCTTGATGGCCGCCGACGGAGAGCGTAGCATGGCGAGGGTGCGGCGCGGCGCGGTGCGGCGCGGTTGGAGGGGGACGGGAAGGGGACGAGACGACTCGGAATTTGAGATGGAATGGAGCCGGGTTGAGGCATCGGGCACGGGGAACCGCCGCTTTATATGGCCATCGATTCACGCGTTTGCCTTTTGCCGGTCCCCTGTTCGAGTCGGACTCCGACTTCGAGTTCGACTCGAGCAAGAACAAGACAAGGCAGGGTCGGTTCCGGGTGGAATCGGACTCGGAGTTCAGGAGAATAGCGTCCGGTTGGTATCTCTATTGGACTTGTTTAGCCTGGTTTGAGTGTTGCTCAGACACTTGATGGTCCGGTTGGTATCTCTATTGGACTTGTTTAGCCTGGTTTGAGTGTTGCTCAGACACTTGATGGAGCCCACTGGACGGGGTGTTTGATCAGACAATTGATTGAAGCCCACTGGACTGTGTGTTGCTCAGACACCTGATTGAAGCCCATTGGATTGTTCTATTATTTTTCCTTTTTTTTTGGTTTGGGTCCAGGCCCAGTGCACAATTGAACAAATAATAAGGCAGGAGTGGATTCTAGAATATCCTCAAATTATAAGAGAGAACGTCGTTCACGCTTATAGAAGTACATATATAAGGCAAATTGTATTGCATTTGCCTTTGTCTTGGTATAAATCCTAATGCCAATAGCATGTTAGCAACTGAACTTGGCTTGATTACATGTACGATGTGGCGCGCGGCGCTGCATCGATCGAGATCACAATCTCAGGAGTTGAGGACCGGAGAATGGCCGCAGCCAAAGTCAACATAATGGTGTTTCAGCAGCCGCAGGTACTCATCGAGCCCGTAGGTTTTCTGGATCTCCTCGTCTGGCCGGTCGACGATGCTGTACTCCTCCATTAACCAATCCTTATTCCTCATCCACCAAGAGAAGAATGAGTCGTCCGTCCAGAGCGCGTCGGGGGCGTCGGTCACAGTAGAGTCCTCATCAGCGAGCCCGCGGCGGCTCTGGGTGCTGTCCTTCTTCTCTTCGCCATTGGGTGTGGGCGTGCCTGCCTCTGCCTCGGTGGGACGGCCGCGGTGTCGCCTGCGCGCCGAATTAGCTAGCCGGGTTCTTGTCGACCACGGCGGCCTTCCTCTTGCGCCCGGACGACGCCGACGCCGACGCCGAGGCGCGCGCGCGCGGGCTGAAGTAGATCTTGCAGAGGACCACGTCGTCGGCGTCGGCGCCGTCGAGGCTGAGCTCCACCATCAGCCACCCGGACCGGACGCGCCGCCCATCCACCTTCGTCAAGAACGAGAAGCCCTGCCGGTGCCCTACCAGGATCCGGCCGCCGTGACCCTCCTCCACCACGGGCTTCGCGCCGGCCTCCGAGTGCCAGCACCCGTCCCCGGAGTCCACCGTGCGCGCCTTGCGCTGCCCGTCGCGGGTCTTGGCCCTCACGGCGGAGAAGAAGTACCACGCGCTGTCGCCGTTGCTCGCGACCTCCGGGGCGAGCCGGGCCGTGAGCTCGCCGGGGCCGGCGGAGTAGACGTCCGCGTCATGGATGAACGACGCGCTGCACGGCCTGTCTCTGTCGTCGCCGGAGACGACGCGGGGCCGGAGGAAGGACGTGATGAGCTCTTCCTCGGATGGGTGGGCCGCCAAGTCGGGCCGCGGCCGTGAGCGTGGGAGTGGGCCTGGCGTTGTTTTGGAGCGGGTCGCGACCATGGCCCAACAGAGAATGTGAGCATATACAGTGTGACCCAAGGAACACGGTAAGAATATAGGGGGTATACAGTAATCGAATCGATTCTGACGAAAATTGAGATTATAATCGATTCTGAGTAATAGCTTCGCAGCCGTCTCGGCGTCTTATATCGAGCGGAATATGATGGCTGGTGTGCGAAGGCCGAAACCGACTCGAACCGTTCTTTCATCGTGACACGGAAAGGAAACACAATTCCAAAATCGGTTTGCGCGGCCCGTTGCCGATCGTCCGACCCGTATGGTTGAGGGGGCAGTGGGCCGAAACCAATACAAATGGGAAGCTGGGGCTTGACGGTTTGAGCTTTTTTTACGATCTATATAAGTGTGGTGATCCTAAACCTATCAGGTGCAAACAATCAATCTATGTAAACTTAAAAACTACCAATTAAGATCACTAGATGCAGATCCAATAGATAGGGTGAGGGACTTAAGCGCAAAAAAAAAGACACATCTCACCACATCTATTGGATCAGCATCTAGTGGTCCTGATTGATAGTCCATCCATTGGATCAGCATATAGTGGTCCTGATTGGTAGTTTTCAAGTTTGCATAGGTTGGTTGATTTGCACCTGATACGTTGACGACACTAAAAAAAGTCTAAAGCCAACATCTATATGTCATATTTTATAGCAATCCTCTTTTCGTCCTAAAATAAGTGATGTTTTAGGTTCGTCCTAAGTCACATTTTAAATTTGACCAAAATTATAGAAAAGAGTAAAATGCATTCTCGATCCTCAAACTTTTGAGACCCTACCATCTAGGCCCTCGAACTAAAAAAACGACCATCAGGGTCCCTAATCTACTATCGTCGCACAACAACAGTCCAAAACTCACCACGCCAGGGCCAACATATGACGTGGCCATGCCACGTAGGCAACTGGATGCTGGGCCATGACAACCTCTCAAAAACCCCTCACACATTTGGAGAACGTTGTTTCAGATCCGGGCCTGCGTAACAAAAGAGAGAGAGAGAGAAGGGGAACGGAGGGCGACGGCGTTGTTCGCTAGGCTCGCGGTGGTGGGCGCCAAGGCCGCGGCGATCGTCTGTGTGGGCGCCGGCCTGACCACCGCCGTGCGGTGGACCGCCGAGCGGGTGAACGAGCGGTTGTACGCGTGCACGAGCGCCGCGCGGCACTTACATCGGACCTGGACACGGCGAGCCGCATGGTGCGGCGCACGCACTCCAAGCTGGAGCACGGCCAGCCGCGGCAAGCGACCACTAGTAGAGAATAGACTTTCAGTTCTAGGCTTTAGTCCCGACCATTTTTTGGGCCTAAGACTAAAGACAGGTGTTTACACCAAAATTTGAGAAGAAGAATGCAGGAACTCGAAGCTTCCAAGATCGTGTCATCAATGAATCGTTTGCATAAAAGTCGATATCAGCTGATTCAAATGCAACACTGGAATCAACTCTCTTCAGATGACGCCAGCAGATAACGACAAAAGAGCTATGGTTAGTGTCAGGAAAAACATATCGGACTCTACAAAAAGGGAAAGATTAGGGTCAAAGTTATCTTAAATTAGGAATATTTTATCTTATGCCAAATATTGTAATGAGTCGTACTTAAATAGGATTCATGCTTAGGTTCCGGGTATAAATATGGGACCTCGGCTTTTGTAAAGGACATCCAATCAATCAAATACAATTTACTTTTTTTTTGCTCCGTGCCAACCCTTAGGAGTAAGAGTAGTGTAGATCTCGACGAGTTCTTCAACTAGCATGGCTGCATCGGTCCGGCTGACCTCTGGCTTGTCTGTAAGTATCGTCATGGCTTATACTTCTGTTTGTATGGCTGCATTGGTTAAGTTCGACCTCCACTGCGAACTCTAGTATAAGCTAGTTATCGACTCTTATCTAGTTCAAGTACGGCCACATCGATCTGGTTGACCTCCACTGTTCGAATTAGATTAAGGTTAAGTTATCGGCTCTACCTAAGGGTGGCGTCCTTTGGGTAGATTCATTAAGTTACCAATCTTGCTGATGTTCTTATTGTTATTAGTTTACAGCAACATCAATCTGCCCGATCAAGATCGATTTAGATCGGTCTTATATCCTTTTAGTCCGTCGTTTGCTTTGTCACAACACGATGTTTTTTACTTTGAGCGACGATTATGTTTCATCGGCTGTTTTTACTTCGATCTTGATTGTGCATAGTACACGGTTAAGGCATGTATGATCTTAAAGAGGTTTGCTGGTTAGTTAAATCTGGTCTATAGTTCGCTATTATGGCTGTAATGATCCGGTTGATCCCCAATGATGGCACTGTAGATTGGAGGATGCTAGTTAGTAGATTTGTTCTTATTAGGCGTGACTTTAACTGTTTGCTTTGCCTGCATCAGCTAAATAGCCGATTGCCTATGCTTTAACGCCTACAGTGTGTCTCCATGATTCTGTTAAATGTGAATAGATCTGTTTACTTTAAAGGTTTGATTTATTATCTTTATAATGGCTCCATCGATCCGGTCGAACCCCTCTATTAGAGATAGCAGGTTAGGTCTGATGAGTTCATAGCTTTCGCCACATGAAATAGTCAATTGTTCACACGTTGTAGTCCCTTTTCACCCGAATCGGCTATTTCAGCCGATCCGCTTTGAGCTTTCACATATATAGCGTGTCTTTCGAAAAAAGCCTAATGACGTGTAGATGGTTTTATGGATGCTAAGGTTTTAGTTTGTTATTATCATCATAGCTGTCATCGATCTGGTCAAACCTCACTGTTGATGGTAACAGATTAGACTCAGAGCGTTTGTAGATCCATTTGTACTAGACAGTCGATTTGTTTGCATGTTATATATCATTTCTCAATTAGATTCATCGGCTCAATGACTCACACTAGTAATATCCACCTAGCTGATGATTTCACTTATATTTGCGAGCATTATACTTATCAATATAAAATCAATCGCGATCCATAAGCTCTATTGTCCGTAACAGCTGATTTCTATGCGTATCGGCTATTTAGTCAATTTTCTCGTCTGGCTGCTCCTGAAGCGGCACACTTGGAACTGTCTGGGCAAAGACCGACATGTTCCACCTTAAATTACTAATAAACTTTCTCTCCTTATCAATTGTAGGTCAAATTGACTGGTACGCCTCTGGAGGAATTCGCAGGATCAGTTAACCCTACGTTAAAGCCAAGCGGATCTCCGGGCTCATCCTAAGCAGATCCTTCTGTCTTGCTGTGTGTCGACATTTTTGTGCCGACACACGTTTTTGGCACGCTTGGTGGGACCCCACAATCATCATGACGACTTACAATAATAATGACATCCTTATGGTGCCTTATGAAGACCTACCTAATGAAGATAAAGATGTCATCATCAAAGCTATAGAAGAATTTCAGAACAAGTGTTTATTGTCCTACACCAAGACACGTGACAATAAAATTGTTCAGAAATATCCACTACTGAGAATTCTGTTGCATGAGCAGATAGATGTAGATGAAGCTGAAGACAAACGTTTCTTCGTAGAGGCTATAAACAAGTCTGTTCATGATGCCATGTTGAATCATAATAAAGTTTTCTTGAACACATTCCACAACATCATGAAAGATGTGTTTCATGGGTTTCCAGTTGATCAGGTTGGGCCGACTTATTACAACATTATACATCCATCGACTTAGGGGACTAATCAGGCTGGTACTAGCCATCAAGAAGCAACATCAGCTGGTAATGATGATGTCCAGGTAGTTCCTCATCTGAGCAAGTTTAGGGTGCTACTACTAATTAGATACAGTATAATCCTGGATCGTTAGAACAGCATGTGCAACGGCCGACGGGGCAAGTTCAGAATCAAATGGTCAATTTTGGCACATCAGGCCAGATACCCTCGTCGGTTCAAAGAATAGCGCCATTAGTTCAAAGGATTTGTAGAGATATAGATCCTAATATCTATAACCAGGGACTTCAAACAACAAACCAGGAAAGGACCCAGCAGATAGAGATACCATAAGTGTATCATTATGGCACAGATTACAACACCCTTCACATGATTCCAAATCCAGGGTATCGAGGTACCCGAAATTTTAATCTACAGATGGGCCAGGAATTATAGAGAAAACCAAATTCAAATGCTGATAAGTTGTTGCTTAGAGTGACCGAGATGATGAGGAATCAGTTTGGTTTGAAGCCAAAAGGGCAGACCTTCTCATACAAATGTCCATATCCAGAATGGTATGATTTGGTCACTCTTCCTGCAAATTATAGGCTCCCAGAGTTTACCAAGTTCACTGGCCAAGATAGCACAAGCACGATAGAACATGTTAGTCGGTATCTTACACAGTTGGGCGAAGCATCCATTGAAGAGGCCCATCGAGTTCATTTCTTCTCCTTATCTCTGTCAGGGCCAGCCTCCACTTGGTTTTCATTACTGCCAGTTAACTCCATTGCCAATTGGGCTAACCTAGAGAAAAAGTTTTATACATATTTTTATGCTGGGACAGGAGAAAAGAAAATTATCGATTTGACAACTATAAGGCAGAGAACTAATGAATCAGGCATCGAGTTTCTTCAGAGGTTCTGATAGACCATAAATTTGTGCTTCTCACTGAACTTAACTGATGATCAGCTGACTACTTTGGCTGTTCAAGGAATGTTACCAACATGGAGAGAGAAGCTGCTGGGACTAGAATTTGACAATCTGGGTCAGTTGGCTCAACGAGTGGCAGCGCTGAATAGCCAATTTCAGAACATACGTAGGGATATCCGATTCCAGAAGAATGCTGCAATTGTCGAAACCTATAATCCATATCTAGTTGATGACGGCTATGAAGATGATGAAAAAGAAGTGGTTGTCGTGACTGAATGAAATTAGGGTAAAAAGACAGTAATGGTGCCAAATCCTTGGGGAAGAGGGGTCAAAGAGAGCTATGACTTCGATGTCACAAAATCAGACAAGCTCTTCGATTTCTTGCTTGAGAAGGGACAGATCAAATTGCCCAACAATCATGTTATGTTGCCCC